AAGCCAGGCGGCGCAGATGGCGCACCACTGGACGAAGAGGCACTGTTGCCGTTGATCTTGGCCGCGAAGTCAGGTCTGTAAGCGGAACTCTTTGGATTCAACCAGCACTTTTGTGCTGTGTGCCCGGGCTTGTGGCAATGCTCACATAGTTTGTCATTGCCTTTCTTGCTCTTGTGTTTGCCTTTGCCTTTGCCGCCCGCCGCTGTCGCCGCAGCGACCTTGGCCGCTGCAGCCTTCTTCTGTGTTTTTCGCCTCTCGATCTCCTCAGAATGATGTGCAATAACACCGTTGACGGCATAGATCAAGGCGTTGAAATCCACAGAATTGCTGGCATTGAAAACGGAAAAGGTGGCATCTAGTTCTTTGATATCCTTGAGCTTGCGCTTCAGAAGCGCAATGCCCCCAGCATTGGTGAGCCTGTGCTCGCCGGAACCCATCTTGTGGCGATACAAAAAACGATGCCATGTAGCTGTCAAGCTCCGTCAATCCAGAACAACTGAGCTCTTGGATCTTGGTGTTAGCCTCCGTGGCCAAATGTGTTGACTCATGCAAATGCCGCTGGTCAACAATGCGGACAGCTTGACGACCACAACCAAATTGAGCACGTGATTGTATAAGCTTGAGGATCTCTGGTCCCTTCTTGCCCTTCTGACATGCGGCAACCACTGCTGCGAAAACATTCACATCTGTTCTGTTCATGTCTACGGACAAGTTTGACGCCAAATCGCCAAAGGAAACCGATTCATCATCAAGCTCTCTGATGTAAACCATGGCTGCGACTGGGTCCGGCGCTACACGCAAGATTTGACTTTTCAACGTGAAGCGCCATCCTTCATAATCAGAACCCGTCTCTGGCAGATCCTTAATGTAGATGCGCCCTGAGGTCGCATCGTCTGTTGCCATGGCACGTCGAGCTACGGCTGATAACCCTGTGTTGGTCACAGCTCAAGCACGCGCAACTACACACAGCTTCGACAAAGCAAAATCCGGTCACTTGAGCCAAGGCATTCCGAGGCAAGTCTCAAAGAGGCATGTCTGATGCAATCACTCTTGAGTGAGTTTGTGATGACATGTGAGGCACATTGCGTGAGCACGTACTTAAACTGCCCACAACCCCGACATGGATACCCCGGTCTGAAATTGATTTCCCGAAGTTCAGTGCCACGCTCATGGTGCATCCAGAGTAGTCCTCCAACGCACCCGCTCGAAAGGCAACCGTATCATCGGTCATGGCGGTCATGGAGGCCTTTTGTCAAGTTTCCTGATCCACGGAAGATCTTATGCGCGGGATTCATCGGCTAGACAATCCGGTTCTAAGGATCAACCCTTGGTCTGAACATGGTTGGGATGTTTATCCTGACCTGCAACTACTTGCAACAAACGTCAGCTCCATCATGCACGTCAAGATGTTCTTCATCCACATGGTCTGCGGTGAGTCCAGCACATTGAACGGAGACGGAGGTCTATTGTCTAGCCGTCTAGCCATGCACAAGCCGTGCACGATGACACGCAGCGGGGCTTAGACCACCGGCGATTGCTGCGGGTTGCAGCGGGCGAACAGGCGGGTGCTTGCGGTAGGGTTCCCGCTGCCATCGCGCAGGAGGGGTCTGGGAGAGGTGGTTGTCAAGCGTGATGAAATGCGGCTTCCACAAGGTAGACACAAGGTTCTTGCTCCGGTGATTGAACCGGGATTCACATGACAGATATCATCAGGAGTGGCATCGGCCTTGCTGCCTTGTCCAGCTGCTTGCTCACGGCCAGCTCCCGCAGCTCATCGGTCATGTCGGCGCAGTTCAGGCGCCGGTTGCACCGCTGGATAGCAGAAGCAACCAGCCATCAAGGTCACCATGGCCTTCCGGCCGACTCGAGACCCAAGATACGCCGCAGACTGAGCGGAGAGGCAGCGGCCCGTGAGGCAAGGAAACGACGGCTTCGAGCACGCTGAGCTGCTTCTCTTCTCGACATGGCCTTGCAAGTAGGATTTACAAAAAGCATCCGTCATGCGAGGAGGTGTTTGAGTGCCCACAACAGTTCACCAGAAGGTAACCGTCTGCGAAGCACAGTGCCACGTCCCGCTGGAGGAGCGACCAGGCCAAGTGACTCCAGCAGCATGCGCTGTACGACGGCACGGCAGGCCGTCATCAAGGAGAGATTAACTGACACCAGCGGCAGGAAGACTGATGGTGTCACGGTAGTGGTTCTCCAACCTGCGGCTTAACCCAGGCACGATCGCAAGCCAGGCAGACCCGCATTGTTGGTCATTGCTCACCACGATGCTTCCGAAGGACAGGAGGCATGACCTCCGCGGATGCCGCTCGCGGTCTCGAGTTTGCAGGTGGTCCCGCAGCGTCGGCAACTCGGCGAGCAACAGCGCTCGGCCGACCAGCCGGCCTCAACACCTGAGTTTGCTGGTTTTGGCGAGCGCTGTGCCGCTCAGAAAATGTGCGTCGGAAGGCCCTCCGCAGTCCTTCCAGGCGTCCTCGCAGTTGTCACGAAGGATGGCAGCCACAGAACGGAGGAACTCACGTTCAGCTACGGGTGGCAATCCATCATGGAAGGTTTCCTGAATGGCGATGTCGGCCCAGCACTTTTCGTGGAAGCTCTGCATGCTGTAGGCACCGCCGTAACATCAGCACGCTGGTTTCAGGGGAGATTAAGCGGTCTCGCTGCAGAGACAGAGGCGCAGGCACCTCTAAGGCCGCTGTGACAGCGCCAACTCACGAGTTTGCGGCATATGCGGCAGGAAATCAAGTTGTGCGTCCGCAGCAAGTCCAGGCGGTGGTCCTCAAGAACTGCGGGGAGATGCGTGTGGATATGGGCCCGCAATCCTGCAAAGCTCCAAACTCGACAGAGTGTGTGCGCAGTTTTCGCTTGGATGGCCATCTCGAACGCCACGGTCGTCTCGATGCCAATTGGACATACCGGCTACCAATCGCTTCAACGAGGAACTATGCAGAGTATTCCGTGTATTGTGTGCCTACACGCCCGATTCGCCCGATCAAAGGGCCACGTCTCCGTTGTGCTAAAAGTTTGACTTGCGCAAGATGTGTTCCGTGCACAAGGGCCGCGCAAGCCGCATGTCGCATGTTTCGTGGGTCGTTATTTTCGACAATTGAGTTCACAGCCTACGGCTCAACGATCGTTCCGGGTAAGAATAAGCCCAGCACATAATGCAGCATTCGCCGCAAGTACTCTGAGAGCGACGGTGAATGCATCAAGGATGGGCGCTCCGACCTTAAGCGCACACAGCAGCACTCCTGGCCGTTCAGCACGACGGTTCCTTAGGCGACGGCTCCACGTGCATTGGCAGCATGGCTCCCGACTTCGATCAAACCATCCCGACTGAAGCCTGAGAGTCTAAGTTACGAGAACCTGTACCTGGCAAGGTGTCTGCTTTCTGGCATGTTGTCTATAAGCCAGCTGCAGCCAGCATGCTTTGAAGAGAAGTGGTCAGCCAGTTCCCCCTCTGGTTATGTCGGTCAAAACTGCATTCTCAAGTCATCTTAACAATGCATGCTGGAGACACACAACATGTTTCGCCATTTGCTCTGAGTTGTGCGGCTGCGGAGGCTGTGGCATCATGGAGGGAAGCCCACGAACCAAAAAACTAACAGGCGGCTACCTTTGCCAGAGCCCCCCATTGGTATTCCGCTCAGGCACAGCTGGATCGCTTTCTTGCATGATTCGCTAGCTCCTGCTGCTGGCAAGCTTGTCTATTCACCGCCGTATCTGGCTGACTTGTACACAGCCAATTTGCGCGCAACACTTGTGTTGGCCCTGGATGGGCGTTGGATTCCACTTGCAGTAGCCGGCAATTCCGACGGGGCCGTAGACGATCAGGGGACGATCTCGCCTGGAAGATGTCACGTGTTCTTTTGCATTTCTTTGCTCGCATTACTCAGACAGTTTTCGCTCATCCCTTGCACAGGGCGCAACACTTCAATGTCCCCCACGCACCTCTCAAGAAGTTAGGAAAGGGATTGCGTGCTGAGCACAGAACTTGTCGAAACTGCTCTGTGTCGAAACTGTTTGTTGGACTCCTGTGCATGTTTCTTGTGTGCGAGTGTCAACACAAATTGAAACTCACGACCAGAAGCCGTGCGGATAGACGGCAGCAGCCTGGCTAACTCGTCCAACAACATGGCACTGAGTGTTCCACTTCGGCGGGAACTGTTCGTCTATCTTGACAGAAGCTGTAGGCTGAAACTTGGGCGCAACATGTAAAAGGAGAGCCCCTGTCAGGAATGCAGCATGCCAACTTTCCTCGAACCCTGCTCTTTCCAACTTCATGGCGCACGCAGGTGAGAGCTAGCCGCTAGCAGCTAGCGGGCACCTCACCACTAACGAGCAAGGTGGTCCAATTAAAGGTCTGAGTGCCGCTGGGCTTCGCCCCTGGCAACGGAAAGAACTCAGAACAGTAGTTGACACGATTCATCTTGCGAGTACGCCAGATCGAAACGGCTTCGGATCGTGTCACTCCAGTTTGGCCTGCACAGAACCAACGTAATGCCATATCCTCCCGAAGAACTTTCGCGTCCTTCGGAAAAGGGGCAGGACGACACCGCTTGGCCTGCGTTGCAAGCACGATCCCGCAAACAGAATGATACGCCAAAAGCCGCAGCTGAAGCTGGAAAGCTGCGTTGGAGTGTCTGCGTTGAGCAGTGCTCGACTTACGGGGCCATGTCGGGTCATGTCGGGCCATTGTGGCCGATTGGCAAAGAGCGCAACTGCGCAATTCCTTTTCGCAGTCGACTGTGTACACGGTTCAACCGATGACTGCCAAAAGCACCTTCAGAAGACCTATGCCTCTAATTCGTACCGACTCCCATCCTCGCGGGATCTCCATGCATGTCCTAGAATCCTACAAACCTGTACAAATGAACCTGTAGCGATCTCACCGTAGAGCGATCATTGTCCTGTCGCACTATGCGTGGCATGATGCGTAGCACTGCGTGGCGTTCAACTTCCACTCGCGGGGGAGAAGCTCCCGCCTCCCGTCGCTACAGCGCCGAAGACCTCAGAAGCGCACGGCTTCTGCGACATCACAGCTTCTTGGCAGCACTAGATCGGATAAGGCCAACCGGCTCCTCACTTTCCATGTCACATCATGCCAGGGGCAGCTGCTTCGTGCGACGATGCATCTTGGAAAGCGGGACCTTCAAATGCAGAGAGTGTGCGCCAAGCACAGATGGCCGTCACATGCCGTCACACACCGCTGCCTCCTCCCGCTCTGCGACTGGAATCAATGTCAAGGCCTCCTGCATTGAGCCGGCGGTTGGCCACAAACAAGAGTTGGAAATGTTGTGCACAAGTCAAAGAGCCGCATGAGATTTGGAAGCTATTGTGATGCAGAAAATTGGGACAAGTGTCTTTGTGGGACGTAGCAAATGGATTTTCCGAGAAGGCTCAACAAACTGTCAATAGTCGGCTCCCTCAACAACACAAACACAACACATGCACGATATGTACAAACATGTCAGCTAAACTATATGCTGCATGATATGCCGATTTGCATAGTTAATAGTTACCGTATATATCTACGTATCGACAATTCTGACATCACTGTCGTTGCTGTTTGCTTCGGAAACGCCCCCCAGTGTTGCAGTGTTGCTTTGCGTGCTTTCGTCAAGCTGTGCACCTGCGCACAGTGACAGTGACATCACAACCTATCCTGAAGCTGCTCCTGCCTCTCTTGACAGTGCTCCAGGGCAAAAGGCAACCCTTTGGAGAGGGAGGAGTCCCTCTGTACAGGGCCACATGAGATTGGAGACATCAGGCCATTGCAGTTGCTGGTCAAACAGCCGCCCATTATCCCGGAGGAGAATGGAATGCTTGAATTTGTCGAGCATTCTCTTCTGGGAGATAGTCCATCGGAAGGGCGGAGATGCGTGGCGGGCACGCTTGCAAGTCTTGCTGGCCGTGGAGCCCGCGACCGCCGTCCAATCAAGCACTCCATGTCCTTGTTTCTCAGGTCCCCCTCCGGGACAGTGGGCGGCTGTTTGATAAATCCTTGTTAGGACCCTCTCAATGCCAATTGGTTGCCGGATCCTGCAACTTGAAGCCTGGGCCATGCAATGTTTTGTTTAGTTGCGAGTGCTGCATCCGGCATCCCGCCGTAGTTGGTTTGTGCAAATGCTCGATTTGCGAACTTGTAAGTTGACGTGATGGTTTGAGGCATGCTCGGGTACCGGGCTTGTTCTTGATTCGAGTAGGTAACCTGAAGCTGCCACCACATGACATAGCGGCAAGTCTGCTGCAAAAGCAGTGTGATTAACGGTTAACCCATTGTTCCCTCCGCTGCAATCAGGTAGCCCTCATGGCATGAACACGGAAAGAAGTGTCATGCCCTTCGTTTGGTTGTTCAGCGAGATGTCTTCATGCACGTGCAGCAGGTCGCATGCATGCACCCGAAATCATGCTGCACTTCAAGCAAAACTTGCTTGAGTTCCCAGTCCTCCTGCGCCAACTCCCCGTCAAGCCGTCGAACATGCTGCGGCAGGCAGGACAGGATCAGGGGCAGAGGGGATTCCGGCGTGAGTCTAAGAGTCTTGCTGACAACGGAGCTACGGTCATCACGCCGGGCGGATCCGCATCACATCTGCGGTGGTGAAAATGCTTTCGACTCTGGCATGTTACGGCAAACACCCACCTCACGCTTGCCATGCCATTGTCCACGCCGTACAGGATTCCGACGTAGCATTGCCCTTCGTACTCGACCTGTTCCCCGTGGCTGGCCGTGGCTGGCGGCAACGCGGATGATTTTTGTTTTGGAGAAGTGCCTCTACTCGCTCTCCTGGCTGTGGGACGATTGGTGCTGCGTACACCACCTTCAGCGCTCCGCCGGCGATTTAACCGTGTCAGAGGCAATGGAAATGGCCTGTAGGGCCTCTTTCGTTGGCCACGTTGCGACAAGAATACCCTGCCCGAAGAGCAACAACAATATGAAAAGTCCACGCACGCTCATGCGCTCTTTTTTTGCCCCTGGGCCTGCGTGGATGTCCTGTGTGCAAGCAGAACCTGCCGAGACGAACCGTTCGAGGTTCAGCTCAGGGACAGGGAGGAGACCGGGGAAAGCACAGAGGGCTCTGGCACTGGATGCGCCGCTGTCGTCAGCTCACCGGCGATCAGATCCCAGCCAGCCAAGAAGTGCATCAGGGCATCCGAGTCAACCTACTGAAACGGCTCCGGCCGGGCACAACTGAAGGGAGCCCCAATAAAGCCTTCCCGACAGCTCGAGTTGACGCCAAGAGCTGCCCTAGCGCCTCCTAAGTCTGCAAGTGTCTGAAACAACACACACAACTTAGGTGCATGTCCGCGATCAGGCACTGGCTTGATGCTGGATCGGGGCCGTGAGCTTCAAGGCTCCGGGGGCCTTCAGAACACCCACACGGCGCCGGTCAGCACTCATACGAAGGCCCTGGCGATGGTCAAGGGCCACTGTACCACTCGGTGCAGGTGAACCGACCGGCCACCAATTGGCACCTCTTGAAAGGCTAGCGATGAATAGAGATGGCGCCAGAGGCCAAAGGCAGCGCGAGAGAGCGAGAGAGAGAGCGAAAAAACAAGCCCAGCCGACATCGCTGCTTCGAAACGTGCTGCTTTCTGCCTCGAAGCCCACGTCCAAGGTTTCTGGATGGCTGAGGTCCACCGTCTTTGCCAGCCACTGAGCAAAGCAAAAAGCCCGGAGCGGCGAGGCGGCGCGGCGGCGCGCTCCGCTCTCCGCTCTCCGCGCCTCGAAGAGCTGGCGCAGGTCTCGGGCCCTGGGCTCCTCCCAGAAAGCATCCGTGCGAAGAGTCTGCCCGAAGCTACCGTCCTCGGCTGCAGGAAGGGTAGAAACAGCCGGCGTCTTGGTGCGCCGGCAAGCCTTGCACATCGCGCGCGAATGAGTCACGCATGCAATCCTGTCCGACGAAGCGAGCCTAGATTCCAATTACTCACCCATGCTCCAGACTCCAGAACAAGCAACCTTCCCCCCCTTGCCTTCAGCCGCAAGGAGAGTTCCTGCACCTGCCCACAAAAGCGCATCAGTTCAACGTCAGCTGACGGGGCGGGCAGCGGCCTCCAGCGTGGCCGCGCGCAGCTCCGCCAGCAAGTCGATGACCTCCCGGCGCAGTAGAGAGCTGAGCAAGGCGCAGCACTCGCCGCTTCTCCTCCCGGGCGGAACGCGGGCCTCATCGCAGGCCTCGTCGTACTCGAACTGCAAGTCCTGTGCAGCAAGAGAGTGATGGAGAGATGATTGGGGAACCTCAGGGCAGAAGAGGGGTCCTCAGAATCGAAGAGAACCTGAGCTTCGTGCCGTGCTACTTTTGCCAATGTTGCGGCTGCTTTGCCTTTCACGCCATGCATGCAATGCTGAGCCGACCGTGAACTTGCTGCTACAGCTTGGAAAGAAGTTGGCGGAAAAATACACATATTAACCTGCGCGGCTACAGAATGTGACTCCGGGTCTTCCTTTCTGACGGCATCTCGTCTTCACATCAGATGAATGAAGGACTGTCTGAGTGTCGGGCTTCACAAGCCATCAGAGGCCAAAACCATTAAATCCCGGCTGCCGTGCCCGGGCTTGAGCCAGCAATAGCATCCCGTGCACTCCTTGGTTTGTCGTTGGGGTGACAAACATCTCGCCACAAAGCCATGCGCTACTCACGCCGCAGCCTCGTTTAAAGTTTACTCTCCCCCCGACGCATCCGCCCTTTCCCCAACCGCCGCATCTCAGTCTCCTAAGACGGCTTCGTGTCGTTGTTGCCTCCGTTTGCTCCGGCGCGTGCGAGGACCTCGGCGGGGAGGCACCTGAGCCGTGGGCGCAGCCAGCCTCTTCGCATGTTTCGGATCGGAAGCTGCGATAGATCCAAGACACGCGACAGCTGCTCTCATGGTCGATTTTGCCTCCTGATATGGGGCTCAACAGCCAAGCATGAGCATGAGAAGACCTCATGGTGCAGCCAAACGGCTTGGGTTCTGCCATCTCGTTGCAGCTTGACGGCACGCTCGACCTCACCACTAAAACTGTCCACAACTCTCACGTGACCAGATTTGGAAGGCAACCTCGGGTATGGTGAGGAGGTAAGCCAAAACGGCCTTCTCCTTGACCTCACGTCACTGACCCTAGAAACAACGAAGAAAGCAGACAGTCACATAGCCTTGAATTCAACAGCTGCCCCTGCGGCCACGCCCTCCATAGCAGTGAGATTAGGCAGCGATGGGCATTCCAATCTGGCCCGGTGGTTGAGGCTTGGAGCGGTGATTGCTTTCGAAGCCTGAAGTTGAGCACACGAGCGTGCATCTTGATAGAAGTGCGACGCATCTGCTGTGACCACATCAGCTTGCTTGCCCTGAATGCGATAAACTTTAAACAAACAGCTGCAGGAACGGCCGCGCAATACGCTGTGGCAAAATGCCGGGGCGTCCAAGTATGTCCAAGTAATCGACCGAAGGATGGGTGCCGGGATCCCAGCATATTTTAAAACTCAGAAAAACTGGTGCGCATATCGAGTCGTGACCTTACACGGCGCTGTGAAACGGGTCGAGCTCGGCTTCCATTGCAGACCTGCCAGCGAGTGTGCATTGGCGTGTGAGACTGTCTCATCCGGAATGCGCCTTGCAGCCAACATGTCGTCCACATCATCGGTGGAAGCGCCAGCAGCCATGAGCACCAGAGCCGCCTTGAACACACAGCTCAGGACGCTTGCGATCGCTTGCGCTCTCTGCCGCTCGGCAGAGCCTCCATCTGCTTCTGCTTGGTCTCCTGCTGCTTGGTCCTTGCCTCTGCCGCTCAACAGTGCTTGGAAGCATCCTGCCCGGTGTCGGGAAAACCGGCGGGCAGGGCGCCGGCCTCTTTGCTTTCGCGTTTGCGAGAGCGCCAAGACACGCGAGGCAATCGAGCAAGAATCGAAGACCTGAAGCCCGCAAAGTCTGAGGGCCAGGAGAGGGGACCGCCCTCCGTGAGCCTTGAACTCAATCGCCTCTCAACAGACGGCACCTCACGGCGGGCCCGTCCCCGCATGCGGAGGGTCTCAAGGGGGGAGGGGGGCGCCTCCTCAAGCTGGAGCTTGGACGCGCTCTGGTCGGCTCTCCTCTCCTTCATGGGCTCCTCCCAACATGTCCCAACAGTGTGGGCTTCCACGGAAAACAAAACGAAGTACAGAGCTCGATCCAACCTGCATGATTTCACCCAAGCGGCGAAGCGCCTGAAGAACGAAGTCGGCCGAACACCACAGCACAGCATGCAGCACACGTTCAAACGTCTGGCCAAGCCTCTGCCCTGTGCTGCCGTGCCGGCTTGTCTACCGACATGTCGCGCAGTACCTCCGCGTCTGAATCTCTACGGGCCATCTGCTTCGAAGCACAACCCTATATACTGCACTGACACACCTCTCCACGATGCCGCTTCAAAAACTACCGCTTCAGCTTGTATCCCGTGCCACCAAAACCCCCCGAAGAACCCAACACAGCCGCAGCACAGCCCCAAATCAAACCCAACCGAATCCCAACATTGTGCCCGGCTGAAGGCTTGTCAAGGCTGAGCACGATGATGCTCCAGGATTACGACCTAGGGCTGCCACCAACTGCCTCACAATGTCAAAGCTCCTAAGAACATAACATCACTTGGCCCAGTATGGGGCTCCTGGCAAGGTTCATGAGCCCAACAGTGCACGGAAGGAGGCAAGAATTTGTTGGGGGAAGACATAGCAGAATTCGAAATCCAAAATCCTACTTTTCAGGCAAGGCGGTATATTTTTTCCGTAAGGAGAGTACTTCGTGTTCTGCTTGAGCAAAAGCTTCGCACACTTCGAACATTCGAATCCTATCAGTTACGCTCAGCTTTTTGCAAAGGTTTCATTTCGGGAGTTTGCAGTTTCTGTTCTGCAGAAACACGAATCAAAGCAGTACGACCCAAAGCAGTTTGCGGACGCAAGCATGTGAGGGTCACTCTGCGCATTACCTTGGCAAGCGTGAACTCGATGTCTATTGCCGTGACCTTCCAGAGGGTGTCGTGGAAGAGGGGCATGGTGTCCTCGCACACAAAGAGTCAGACATAAAGCGTGAGTGACAGCGAGAGTGACAGTGCGTCTGACAGTGAGAGTACGACAGAGAGAGAGAGAGAGAGAAGTAAAGAAAAAGTGATCAGAGAGAAATAGAGATTGATGGATGGATGGAAGGATGGAAGGATGGAGGGATGGGGGCAGGGCAGGGCAGGGCAGGCCGCGGCAGCAGGGTAGGGCGGCAGGGCAGAGGGCAGGGCAGGGCAGGGCAATCCTGGCCCCTCCAAGATTCCAGGAGTCTTGGGCAGAATCGTGGATCTCGGGTCCGGGCGAGGATGAGATTCAATCCTTCAATCCGGATTTCAATCCTGATACCTTGGGGTACTCATTCCTGGGATTGAAACTGGGTTGAAGGATTGAATCTCACTCCGGGCCCGGATCCTAGATTCTCCGAGAGTCTTGGGGCAGAATCTTGGATCTTGGACCCGGGCCTGCATTAAACTTCAATCCGTCAATCCCGCTTCAATCCTGCATCGTTTGCTGCCTGCCTGCGCGGATGACTGCAGTTTGAGCCAGTGCTGTTGATGTGCAGCCTGAGGCAGCTTCAGCAAGGGGCAACAGTCAGGAAGTAGTATAGTAGTAACTTGGTAGTAGTGCAATAATAGTATAGTAGTTGTTCAGCAAAACTACAGCAGTAGAGTAAAAGCATAGTAGTAGTACTGTACTGTCGTAGTACGTCCCAAAATCTGGGAATCGAATTGCGCTCGTTCCAAGATATCTACTGAGACACTAAGACAAAACGCGATTAACGTTGAAGGCTTTTCTTTCAACCTACACCCCGCCCCCAGAATCGACCAAGGCTGAGGCCGCAGTAGTACGGTACCTGTACAGTAACTAGGTGCAGTAGTATAGTAGTACTAGAGTAGTACTATAGTAGTAATAGTAGAAGCAGTCGTAGTAGTAACAATAATAATAGTAGTAGTAGTAGTCGTAGTAGTAGCATCAGCAGTAGCAGCAGCAGTAGCAGTAGCAGTAGAAGTAGCAGCAGCAGCAGCAGCAGCAGCAGTAGCAGCAGCAGTAGCAGTAGCAGTAGCAGTACCAGTAGCAGTGGCAGTAGCAGTAGCAGTAGCAGTAGCAGTAGCAGTGGTAGTAGTAGTAGTAGTAGTAGTAGCAGCAGCAGTACAATGGTCTCGAAACCTGATCCACCGGCTTGAAGCTTGTTGAAAAGGAGATTTATGATGTCCTTTTGTAACCTTCTTCAAAAGGCCACATCCAGAAAATAAAATTTGAAAACGACGCACTATAGATGCTCACTTAACAAACCTTTTCGCGACATCAATATTCATAGAGATCAATCATTCTAATATTTATAACTTGGAGGCTGCTGGTATGTGGTGCTCGCTGCGCTAACCAGCGAGAATCCTAATTTCGTATGCAAAAAGAAGCCCAACATATATCAACTGCATTAGGGGATTCAAAATAGCCGGCAGAGTAGCCATAGCATTCGCAGATTTTTGGGTCAATATATAGCATAACTTGGCACATAGTTTTTCCGTGCCGAAAGCCTCGTTTTCAAAGTTTCTCAAGCCTTCAGAACCCTGCATGCTCAAGTCAGGCTCTGAAGCGCAGCTGCGTTTTTTTCTTGTGCGGGTTTGTGCACAAGCACGGGTTTCGTGGTCGGGGAGCTCCCCCCAAAGATGAGAGTAGCGCCGTGATGTAGTAAGTCCGAATAGAAACAACCACAAGGCAGATCCCGAACTATTGAATAAAACTTAGCCAACTGTCATGGTACCGATAAAAACATGTTTCCGCATAGGTAGATATGTGAGTTCATGGCGAAGTTCGTCTAAACATACGGAAATACAAAGGCTACGCTGAGAAGGTTTGATGTTTTCTTATGAAGATAATTGACACTCGTAGTCAGGATACAAGTGTGGATGCCCAGCTCTTCAGAAAGGGTGAACAGCAGCAGTCAAAAAGTAGTATAGTCTCGCAGTAACTTAGTAGCAGTGCAATAATAATAGTAGTAGTACTAGTAGCAGTACAATATTACTACTGTACAGTGCAGTATGAGGTCCATTCATAATATGAGCGTCGGTGTCATACACAAAATTCAATAACAGTCTCTTGTTTCAAGGTGGGTTCCTTTGCGTAAAGGGTCCATAGGCGTAATATTCAATAGTCGCATGTTGCTTTCAAGTGAATCTTTTCATGTGACTGAAGCTAAGGCAAAACCCTGAGCGGTTCCACCTGATCAAGCCACAAACCCCTCCGACGCCCGAAACGTGAAACCATGGACTTTACCGCTCTTTGGAATTATTGTTTCATATGAACAAGGCCCCAGGAGATTAATAAGTCACTATCGCTTTCTGGTTCCAAGGGCGGCTAAGTACAAGAAACAGGTAAAAGCGGGGATCTTTGAGCAGGGGGTGGGGGAAGCATACATACATACAGAAAAATATGTATATATATATATATTAGTTATATGTCACTTGTGTGCATATATATATATACATATACATACGTACATGCATACAAGTGCAGACGCGTTGACCTTGAGGTTGCGATATTCTGTGCCATTATCCAACCCTCCTATACCCCTCATTACGCCGTAGTGGCCTAGATCAGTGAATTAAAGCTTCAACCTTTGTCTCCACCAAAGAAAAAGAGACCCCAACTCCAAGATCCCAACACCTCGGTTCTACACTCTTCAGAAGCCGTATACAATCGGAACTGGGAGCTGCGAGTTCGATTTCTGGCGGGGTTTTTTTTGTAAGACGAATGATGAGAGCAAGCTGTGGGGATAATGGCAATGAGGATGGTGACACTACCAATACCACGAATAGCAATTGCGGTACAGGAATAGAAATGAAGGACAGTAACTAATGGTAGTCATAATTCCCCGACCGGAATCATAATCATGACCAGTGTGATACTAGCCGCTGTACATGCGACAAGAATCACAAGCATGAGAATGACAAGACTACCCCGGCAAAGAAATGAAGCAAACATCTCAGGCCGAGCGCACGCCACTTCCCATTGCCGCTCCATCAGGCCCCTGATTGCCAGTGCCTTGGCGGCTTAGGCCCGCGATGTCTCAGATTTTAGGATTAAGGGGGGGCTTGTGGCTTGTAGTGTTCGAGCTCGAGGGCTGATGGGGTGTTTGGTGGTTTTCATAAGGAGATGTAGCAAAGCCACCCACACATCCTGTGAACATGAAAGTCGAAGCTCTGAGTTTTCTTGATGGGTTGGCGACCAGGAAAGCACGTTGCACCGCTCGTGACGGCTTTCCAGTTGCAGGTTTATGGTCGTGGTTTGGTGTTTTTGTTTAATGGTGGGCAGACATAGTTACCGGTGAGTTTTTGTGTATGGCTGACTGTTTGGCACAGCCCAGAAGAGACGCTGATCTATGGGTTTTAAGTTTAGCGCATGGGCTTTGGGGTCAACCACGAGCCCCTAACCCCCTAACCTGAGAGATACACTACACCCACCTAGCACACCGGGAACCGCCAACACCTCAAGGAGAAGAGAAGAGAATATTCAGGGTTGCCTCAAAGATAGAAAAGACATATATTATCAGCCTTTTTCCCGGGAAAGAAGAGAGAGAGAGAGAGA